AATCCAGTTGTATTATAAAGAATGTGTACAATATTTGCTATGAATGATTTGTATAAAATATATTTAATATGAGAGAAAATAATAACGAACATATCTTTAAGAAAAACAAAGTTGTCGTCCTTTCTGTCAGTCTCATTGGTGTGACTGTGGTCTTCGTGTCACGTCGCGTCACGTTGAAGATCGATTGGATCTCCTGGGCCCAGTGCACAATTTCAACGTGCTTTCATCATGTCTGTATTCTTTTTAATCGACCTTGCCGTTTCCATCACTACATACAAATGGATAAACACTATATTTTTTCTCTAAAACTAAATAGAAAGCAGTAAATAGGCGTCAATGTGATTAATATTATGGTTACCAAAGCAACCACTTCGTGGCGCGGGTTTCGTGCCTCGTTCGTATCTTGATGTACGAACGAGGCACGAATCCCGCGCCCCGAATTGGTAGCTACGGTAACCATAATATTAACATATGGAAACGTTTACTTGTATTTGTCTCATAAAAGAATTTTACCACGAACTGACTCCCACACGGTGTTGAGTGCTCAGGGGTCACAGGCCACTGGCTTCATCGGGCAGGTAGTTCCATTATGTGAATGGGTAAATTAACTATTACAAAATGAGGGGACACATTACATTGTACAATAGGGACACACATTGTTTTTATTGTGCAGAACATACTTATGTATTGACTTACTTATTGCATGAAACTATAAAACCAAAATGAAATTTGCGTTCTGGCAATTGGAGTACAAAGAATGATAGCAGGTGAATGAAATGCTTCAACAGCAACACAAACCCCTGGGAAGCTAGGAAGCATCCATAAATTTGAATAATTTAGTTGATAAACGACTCCGCATGTGGACGTTTGTTGGAGCAGAAAGCAGTAGATTCTTAACAACACGAACCCATTTAACAAAATGTCGGAACGTAAATTAAATTCGGCGCGGTTGGAAAATGCATCTTTCTACCCTGTGACATTAATTTTACGATCCAGTAAATTAAAACAGTTTAATGGCTCTTATTTTAAAATTACTCGTTAAATAAAACCCACAACTTCAGTGGTAACAGTAAAAAATATGTTATATCTTACAAATAATTTTAAAAAAAAGTATAAACATTGTGAAAGTGTCGCATTTTACAATAAAAGACACCGATTTAGCGAAGATGACGTCATTAGTGCGCTTGCATCAGGGAATTCAAGGTTAAAAGGTCAATTCAGACGCTGATAAGTTATTGGTCGAGCCTTTTTGTTTCCTTTATTCCGACAAAATTATACAATCAATCAAAACAAGTTTGATACCAGAAGAAAGCTAACAATTATTATTTTCATTAACCGCTTGCCCCAAAGTCTCTTGACCACAGTGAAACGAGTGAGAGCTTGCGAGAGCGGCCAAAGTGTGATTGAAACTCGCTATTTGCTCTTCTCCAACGCAAAAAGAGACGACATTGTGCTGGATAAATATATTTTTCCGACAAAAGTACAGAAAATTTGCATATGGTCTTTTTATATTATACTTTATGAAATGTTACCCGAGTGACTTCCGGGCGCCCCAATGCTGGAAAGAAAAGCACATTTAGGAAAACTTCACTTTTCCATGGAAAAATGCTTATTTGTTCTATGCACGCAAGTCAGATTGAGCGGATGATACAACGTTTCCATATGCACATTAATAATTGATTAGTAAAGTGTGTAGATGCGCAACTTCAGCTTGAGTCGCCTTTTCACCCCCACCTTTCCCTTCCCTCTCTGCATGTATCCCTGCATGGCTGTCCCTTTACCTTCCCCCTTGCTTTAATTCCTACTCTATACCCCTCCTTTTCCCCTCTCCATGTTGTATGTACAGATAGCATTTTTAGTCTACCTGTCCATAATCGCCTCTCTGCATGTAACTCAACCCCCACCTCCTCGTGGTACTAATCGGATACCTAGGCCTCGCGGTCTGGGAAACTGACAGGGGCTCTGGGTACACACAGAGAAAATTAGGTATAAATTGACTCCCTATAGGGAGTAAGTGCTTGTCACATAATTGACACCCCTCAGGGGGTAAATTTACTCCTCAATGTAGGGAGTAAATTATTTTTTTTCATAAGAAGTTGTAAACTTGCGCCCCAAGGTTATGATTGTACTCCCTTTAAGGAGTGAAATTTGCACCCAATGGTGCTCATTTCACATCTTTTGGTTCCATTTTCATGAACAATGGGTTCAAATTTACACCCTTGGGGTTGAATTTTATACCCTTTATGATCGATTCGACACCCTGTGGGTAGTATATCTACACCCTTTGTATGCACAGCATCAACCAATTGATCATCCCTCGAGCAATCAATCATCAATGCTTCGTAATCACCTAACAGTCACTGATTCTCGCTTTAGCACACAGGTCAAAATTCCTTCGGGAAATCTACCAATCATGAACAAAAATCCAAAGCCATGGCCCCGAGTCCCGGTGGCTGCTATACACGGCAGCATAGCGGCAGGGGTGCGAAGAATCTGCCGGTATTTTCAAGGCTGCTATCCTCCTTACAGGTACAAGTCGCAGAAGGAACAGCATACAACCCAAGGAAGAAAACTTCAGAGAATACAGCAAAGAAGAGGACAACAGAAAATCGAACAATAAAAAGTAAGATTGCGCCATAGTACAGTTAAGGGGAACAAGTGTTAGTAGGCCAATTGTGACAATGCATCCCGCTCGTCAAGGGAAGTTACCTGATATGACTAAGGATACACCTGGTGGGGTCAAAGTTGGGGAGAAGGTGAAAACTAGAGGCTTGAGTATAGCAGCCTGGAATGTGAGGACAATGAAGACAACCGGGCACTGGGACATTTTAATAGAGGAAGCTAGAAGATTTCAACTAGACATCCTTGGCCTTAGCGAGACACACCTCACTGATGCAAAGACCCTCATTACTAAAGATGGGTACACCTTTTTACTGTTAAGCCGAAAAGACAATAGAAGCCGTGAGGGAGTTGGCATAATGATTTCACCAAAATACTCCACTGCCTACTTGGTTATGAAGCAGTATCGTCCAGAATGATTACAGCAAAATTCCAGATGAAAGGAGGAGTCATGAATATCATTCAAGTTTATGCACCCACAAGTGGACATAGTGATCAAGAGAGTGAATTTTATGATCTGCTTCAACTACATATCCAAAAAATCCCGAAGAAAGAGAAGTTAATAATTATGGGGGACTTTAATGCCAAGATAGGATCAGACTATAAAACATGGACATCTGCCTTAGGCAAGTTTGGACTTGGAGTGATGAATAGCAGAGGAGAAAAGCTAATGGAGTTCTGTATGATCCATAGGCTAGCAGTCCGTAACACAAATTTCCAACATAAGGACTGTCGAAGAGCAACTTGGAATTCGCCAGGTGGCCTATATAAGAACCAGATTAACTTTATCTTGGTGTACCAAGATGACTGAAAGAGCGTCAAAAATAGTAGGTCGTTCTGCCTTGCTGACATTGGGTCAGATCACAACCTCGTTTTTAATAGCCAATGTACATTTTCAGCAACCAAAAGCTAGAAGAATAAAGAGCGTAGAGAAGTCATATGATATGGGCAGGTTTAAAAACCCATCTGTTGCTGAAGAATTCCAAGCCCGAATTGGTGGAGCGTTTGAACCATTGTTGCTGCTGGAAGATACATACATAGATGAGCTCTGGCTGAAGTTCATGAATGCAACCAATGAGATTACCAAGCAAGTTGTTGGCATCAGGAGAGGGAAACAAGTAAAACATCTCCCAGAACATGTGAGAGATGCTTGTGAACTCAGAAGGAAGGCTAGGGTAGCTAAACTGAACTCCCCTCATAATAATCATAATATTATGAAGTATCGGCGCCTTAACAAAAAGTTAAATATGAAGTCAAAAAGTGGAAGAGGGAGACTCTCAAGAAAGAAGTAGAGGAAATGGAGGCAGCACAGGCACGAAATGACAGCCATGAGCTATAAGAAAGTAAGAAAACTAGCTGGTGAGAAGGAGAAGATACAGCTAGCAGCCAAAAACAGAGAGGAGGTTATCAAGACTGCTCCAGGAGATGTTTTAGATTGTTGGAAAGAACATTTTCAGCTCCCATCTTAATACAGAGGTCCCGGGAGACACCAACACACTTCGCAATATACCTGAACCTCCTCCTACTGAAAACCAGACTTCACCTTTTACTATACAAGAGGTTCAAGCTGCGATCAAGGCTCTAAAGAATAACCAAGCAACTGGATTTGAAACACTGAAAGCTGGAGGTCCAGCAATGGCACAGATCTTTTACTGAAGATCGTCAACACTGCTTTTACACAAGGCAAGACACCAGTTGAGTGGAGCAAAGGCCTTATTATCCCTGTGTACAAAAAGGGGGATAAACTTGACCCAGCTAACTACCGAGCCATAAAACTGCTATCAGTGCCGGCTAAAGTTTTCTGCAGGATGGTGCTCAGTAGGATCCAAGAGATAATTGAAGAGCATTTATAGGAAGAGCGGTGTGAATTCCGGAGCTCCAGAGGAACCACTGATGCTATTTTCATTGTCAGGCAAGTGCTGGAGAAGGCCAAAGAGAGACATATCCCCATTCATTGGAACTTTGTGGACTTCAAAGCAGCATTCGATACTGTCTGGAGGGATGTTTTACGGAAGTGCCTTCTTTCAATAGGAGTTGAGAAGAACCTGATTGACCTCATTAAGTATATGTATGATCAGACCAAATGTGCTGTCATCGTAAATGGTAAGGTTACGGAATGGTTCCAAGTTATGACAGGCGTCAGGCAAGGCTGTCTTCTTTCCCCAAGTCTGTTCAACATCTTCCTAGAGTTCGTGATGGCAGATGTCAAAAACCTAGACAGTGGAGTTCAGATGGGTGGCATACGCATTAACAACATCCGCTATGCAGATGACACCACTCTACTCGAACTCATCTATGAAAAACTCCAAATATCAACAAACAAGCTGGTGGAAGTCTGTGGTAAATAGGGAATGAAAATCAACACAGCTAAATGCAGAATCATGACAAACGATGATGAGGAGACTTCAATAGATGGCAACCCTATAGAGAAGGTAGAAGACTTTGTCTTCGTTGGAAGTGTAGTCCCCTCGGTTACCAAATATGTCAAGAGACGCACAAATGTAGGTTCCTGGGCATTTTGCAGACTGAGAAACAATATATGGACCAACCAAGATAATTCAAGAGCCCTGAAGGTCAGAGTTTATAATGCCCTCATTCGTCCTATAGCCATCTACGGGTCAGAGACGTGGACGCTAAGGAAAACTGACCGGGATAAACTGGAGACCTTTGAGATAAGATGTCTGTGGACAATAGCAGGAGTCCATCTTCTAGATGAAATTAGAAGCGTAGACATCAGAAAGTAATTGAAAATCTCCAAGACAATAAATGAGGAAATATCCAACCGCCGCCTGAAATTGTTTGGACATGTGGTACGTATGCCACAGGAATTAACGCCTACCAATACAAGTCCACACCAATGACTTTACTGTGCCACGGCCACCAGGACGTCCTCCCCTGAGGTGGAAAGACCAAATCCGCCAAGACTCTGGATTAAGCCTGGAGGCTGCCCGACACCAAGCCCAGGACAGAAAAGAATGGAGGCAGACCACCCGTAGGAGCGCAAGGGGACACTCCGTCTTGTGATCTTAAGTCAATTAATCACATTAACATTAATCAAAGGATTACCAAAGAGATGAACGTAATTTGATTGTCCTCCATGCAAGTCATTAGGGACTTTTAGATTTGCACGAAGACAGAGGTGGATTGCTACGATCGACGTCCTTTTAATGCACTGCCTTGAATGGACGTCACACGTATCAGTCCTCAACCTCTCTACCTCTCTAGATCTTCATCGTCTTCATCATCATCATTATCATCATCATCGTCATCATTTTCGTCTTCATCATCATCATCATCATCATCATCATCATCATCATCATCAATGTCACCACCAGCACAAGCACCATCATCACCTTCTTATTCAATGCCATCTACCTCCTGCTCCTGCTCCCCCTACTCATCATCATCATCAATTTTATCCTCAGCATCATCATCGCCACCATCTACATCATTATTATCTTCATCATCATAATCATCCTCAGCATGATGATGATGATGATGATGATGATGAAGATGATGATGATGCTGATGATGATGATGATGATGAAGGTGCTGATGCTGCTGCTGCTCATGACGATGGTTATTATTATGAAAAATGATAATGATGCGGAGGATGCAGTGAAGAAGAAGAAGATGACATAAATGATATTAAGGACGCTGGTGATGATGACCATGTTTGTTATTATTTTCTTATTTTTCTATTTTTTCTCGGACGTTCTGCAGACGTTCTGATTTTATACAGGAAATTACTTCCCCTCCCATCCATATTTATCTCTCTTCCTGTTTTCTATAAATTGTCCTCCTTTTTATTATAGTTCTAGTCGATTTCCAATGCACGTTTTAATTATTATAATCATAATTACTCTCTTTATTGGGTGGATCCCGCAGTGGATGAAAAATAAGGATATTGTATAAGTTATACAAATGGATGTATTACCTTTGTACATATACCAATCTGGGATCCTCCTCAATAAAAGGTGATAATGTACTGTAGGAATGAACATTTCATCGTGGTAAAAGCCCCTTTCAAGTGTTGGGAGCCCCAAAGTCGCTAACATTTTTTATGGCAACATTTCACTTGAATTGTGAAATGTTGTGAAAAGAGGATGTCATTTAACACTCGAATCTGCAAGGATTTTCGAAGCAAAAGTGTTTGAAGACAAATATTGATGAAAGAATACAAAACTTGGGTTTTTGTGTCTGTATGCAGAAAACCTTAATTTTGTATTCATCAATATTCGCCTCCAAACAATTTTTTTCTAAAAATCCTTGCGAAAGTAAGTGTTAAATGACAATCATCCTCTTTCACTACAATTGAAGTGATTTTTGCCATCAAATTTGTTGGGCTCCAAACACTTGTTAGAAAGGCTTTAACAAGATTTGAATTGTCACGGATTATATATTCTAGGTTTAGAATTAAGGTATGATATGTTTTTTATCTAAGTTTTAACACATTTATTTTAGACTAGCCGAATATCTCGCAAAATTATCAGATATATAAATTATTAGATATATATATATATATATATATATATATATATATATATATATATATATTGAAGTTGACAAGGATCAAGATCGCGCCTGAGCGTCAAGTCGTGACGTTAAAATGATGTCAATCCCGTCCCCAATTCCAAAGTTGTTCACCAAATCATACATGCAACACAACTCACAAGCAAGATGAAGGCCAAGCAGTTGATTATTATTTCGTGCTGCCAATTTTACTGTTTAGTGTTACATGCCAATCGGGTTACTCTTAATTAAGCCTCGTTCAGATATGTCACAGCAAAATTGCGGCGTTTTTTCTTCATTTATTCTTCTAAATATATATATATATAAATATATATACATATATATTGTATTTATATAGCGACGTAAAATGTAATGCGATTTAGATTGCTCAGTGTGATTGCTTCAGCGCGCCATACCTGAACAAGCCTTTAGTCTTTACAGGTGAGGCAAAAAAGAAGATTCAATTCAATTCAATTTAGTTTATTTCACTTCTAATTAAAAACCTAAAATAGCGATGACATTTTAATACATTATACATCGTCTGAGTCTGAATAAATTCATCCCGTCCTGTCTCCGACATCAGGTGGCGCTACACCCCTTACATCTTCCACTTATGTTAAACCATGTTATTGAACAAAGTTGAATGAATTCACTTTTGCACTTACTATCATTTTGAATTCTTCAGTTTCCATCAAACCTATCATATCAACCTTTACATTATTGTTGGATTTAAAATCCTGATACGTAAATTTAAATTATTAGTTGTTTAAGACACACAGTATCAATATTCAAACTTGTTTTTAACTGAAAATGCTAACTCCAAAAAGACGCTTTAAGCAGGGCTCCCACTAAGCCGAGTTGGAGCCTCGAGTTGTGGCGAGCTGGCGCGATCTTATAGCAAGCAGTTTTATCATTAAAACATATTTCTTGATATCAAGAATTCAATTCTTGATATCACGAAATCGATTTCCTGATATCACAAAATCGAATTCTTGATATCAAGAATTACCATTGCTTTACAGCATAAAATTATTTCTTGACATCAAGAATTGATTTCTTGATATCAATTAATAATAAAACGGCTTGCCATACTCTCTTAATTTCTAGGACTTATTTTAAAGTCCAAAGAATTTATTCTAAAGCCAAGGGGGACTTGGATCAGTGACGTCACTGATCTAAGTCCCCCTTGGCTTTAGAATAAATTATTTGGACTTTAAAATAAGTCCTAGAAATTAAGAGAGTAAGATCGCGCCAGCTCGCCACAACTCGAGGTTTCACCTCGGCTAAATGGGAGCCCTGCTTTACACTTTGGCTCCAGAATATCTATATAAAATGATACAATGTTTAATTACCAAGTCCACATAACTATAACAAAAAAACGTTTCTGTACATAACTTAGTCATATGAATCTGGTATTAAAGTATTACGTCAAAAGATATTGTCTTTAACTCTCATAAGTCATTTTGATAGTTCCTTTCTTTTCTTCCTTCTTATTTTTTTTTTTTTAAAACAAAGAATCCGTAAATGAATGTAGTCCTACTCATTGAGCTTATGGAAATAATAACAGTTGTAAAACATTGCTGAATTCACATCATATTAAATTCATGAATGAAAATTACATCAAAATACTACTGTTACAATACTTTCAACATAAACCAAATATCAACTACTACCGTATTTTTAGTAGAGTAAATAATTTTTAGTCGAGTGCAGTGCTTTTAGTACAATGGGCTAATATACATTCAATGCAAGGACTTTCAGCAGTTACATAAGCATTTAGAAACATTGAAAACAAATACTAATGTCCTTTGCTTTATAATTGGACACATAAATATTTTTTAGTAAGGCATGTCAATCAATAATACTGTAACTACAATAATGATAACTGTTTTGATAAATTACGCACACATCATTATCAGCAATGTCTCATGACGAATACGCGAGGACGCTGGACTAAATACTATTTCAAACTTCGAACTACGGTTACTTTTCTCCAAATTTTGATTTGAAAACCTCATTTATTTTCTCTTTCTTAAGAAAGTAGATGAATTCCGTTTTTTCTCTCGCCTCATTCCCCTATAAAGCGCATAATCAGCTATAACAAGCTATAATATAACAAGCGCTTACGGTATTAATATTACCCGGGACATTGGCTACAATTACTATTTCGCACATTGAGGAGCACATTCTCCACTCCCTGGGTAGCATTCCAACTGGTCGCCATTTGACCTTCGTATATTCTACCGGCTACCCCTTTAACACTTGGGTGGAGAGAAGCAATGTAGATAACATGTCTTGCTCGAGGACATAACTGCCGTGTCGGGCTCTAACCAACGACCTTTCCATTCCCAGTCAAATGATTAAACCACTCGACTACGACACCTCTCCCAAACAAACGCTACATTTACTTTAGATTTCAGATAAGGAAAGATTTATTTTATCTGCGACAAAATCATGAAAAGTCCAAAAGTAAAACTTTTGATACTCAATACAAAGTCTTTACCACCGAAATATTCAACTGCCTTCGTCACCAATGCAGAAGCGACGCTCCCGGGGGCAGGGCACAGTGTCCCCCCTTCTTTAAGTACCCTTAAAAAATGCCATGATAAATTCGTAAGAATTGCCCCTATTTACAAAGTAAAAGTGCCCTTTTTACTTTTGAATGTGCCCCTATTACTTTTCACCTATGATAAGTGCCCCTTTTATTTTGGCAACTGCTCCTTTTCCTTCGACAAGCTCATTTTTCTTTTCCAATAAGTGTCCTTTTTCTGTTCTCATTCGTGCCTTTTTAATCTCTAGTAAGTGCCCCTTTTCATGTACGAGAAGTGCCCCTTTTCATTTTAGATAAGTGCCTCTTTCACCTCTCATAATAACACTAACAAATTTAAGAGGTGCCCCCTTTTACTTTGACAAGTGCCCCTTTTCCTTTGTAAGAAGAGCCCCTTCCCCTTTTCTACTCCTTTTGAACTCCGATAAGCGCATCTTTTATTTTGACATGTGCCCCTTTTCTTTTATAATAAGAACCACTTCCCCCTTCTCATAAGAGCCCCCTAAAATATAATCGGTGCCCCTTTTCTGTCAACAAATGCACATTTTTCTTTACTATAAATGCCCCTTTTTCATTCTCATAAGTACCCCTTTTCATACCTGGTTAGTGCCCCTTTTCATGTGCGATAAGTGCCCCTTTTCACCTCTATGTATCTATGTATATCGAAAATGCACTATATAAATA